TGCTATAGAGGGTCAAGGACTGCAGCCTCTAATATGTATTGAGGCTCAATGTCAAGAAGACAAAGTTTCTCACCACTGGACCAATTGGCAGCATCAGAATAGATGGTGAAGAGATTGAGATTGTTCACAGCTTTAGTTTGCTTGGCTCCGCAGTCAACACTTTTGGCACCAGTAGCCAGGAAATGAAAAGGCACATTGCTATGGGAAAGTCTGCTGTTAGGGACCTCTCCAAAGTGCTGAAGAGCAGTGGTGTGTCTCTGGACACTAAGTTGCGTTTGATACAGGCCATGGTCTTTGCCATCACTTGTTATGCATCAGAGAGTTGGACAGTAACTAGGGAGGATAGAAGGAGAATTGATGCCTTTGAGCTGTGTTGCTTCAGAACAGTATTGAGAGTACCGTGGACTACTAGGGAAACAGATTTATCCTGGAAAAGGTTAAACTGGGTGAGTCCTTGGAGGCAAGGATTCTGAGGCTCCGTCTAACAATACTTTGGACATGTTGTAACGAGAGACCGGTCCTGGAGAAAGACATCATGCTTGGGAGGGTGGAGGAACAGCGCAGGAGGGGAAGGCCCTCTACGAGGTGGATTGATTCAGTGACTGGGGTAATCGGGATGGGAGTATCAGAGACAGTGCTATTGGCACAGGACAGAGCAGAGTTTAGGGCTCTTTACATAGGGTCGCTATGAGTTGCAAACGGCTTGACGACATGAAACAACAACAACAACAAATAAGGATATTAACCTTTTTTGCTGATTTTGGCCCAAGTATCATATATTGAATAATTTATCTTTTTCTTACCCATTTAATTTTTTATTTTTACATGAATATTACCTAGTCACTATTTTTCATATTTACTAATCATAATTTGATCTTTTTTACACAGTGGGATTTCTTATTTTAAGTGTTTGAATTGCTGTGTTGTGATTCATATTAATCGTTTTACTGAAAGTATTTAGTAAAATAGGTAAAGTATAAATTATAAATAAATAAGCAGACTTACCCTGTTGTTGTTGTTGTTGTT